TGCGCTCCCATAGGTATAGCACATTCTACAAGTACGAAATTCAGGAGTACTTTTTGATTTGGGATGAAAGTAATTCTGCACCACTGTCCTTAAATGGTCACAATTCATATGGAAAGAGATGTGGTTTTATCAAAGTACAGATTGTGTGGTTGGGAACTATAAATTTACACAGGATTAGCACTTCGGACGCTGGTGTGATTACAGTCAGTGCTGCATTTATTTTCCTTCTGTCGTATGAATTTCACTTACTTTGCTCAAACCCAATCCTGAATTTCTGCTTAGAGAAAATTGATGGTAGCAGCAATACATTAATAAATTATTTGTGTGCATGATGAATAAAATTTAATAAATAAGCACCTTTTAGTTTTAGCTTTACAAGAAAAGTATGGTAAACTTTTGATAATGTTGCTTTTATGGTTAGGGCATACCATGTTTGCCACATATCTACTGTGTTTAGTAGAACATAGAAATGTGAAAGAATTCTGTGAATGATTACAGATAATTAACACTAGCCTTCTAGCAGCATTTTTCATGGGTTTATTTATAAGTTTCTCTGCATTTTTCTTTAAAGTGAACTCACTGTTTTTCATATAAAAGAAATACTGAATCCTCTTGCTAATATAACAAACACAAACTACAGTTCAATGGAGAAAAACACCAGAAAAAAAAGTTTTTTCAAGACTGTCTTGAAACTTTATTGTATACACACACAGAAGTTCACACACAGTTTTTACATTATTGCAATTTTCAGTATAGCACTTATAGAGCCTATAGAGATATATATGATGTATGGAAATTCTATGTTTTACAGTAATAAAGACTGACTTAATTCAGAGTTAATCTATTGATAGAAGAGCTCCGTACTTACTTACTTAGAAAGTTTTTACGAAAATAAAAATGAGCAAGAGTTCATGATGGACTTAGGCTCAGTAATGTCCTGAAGCAGGCATTCAGTATTTTTGTCCCATTCTTAAATAGATTATTCTTCTGTTAGAGAAAACGAGACCTTTTTGTTCCCATCTGTATCAGCGGATTAAGTCAAACCATGAGTCCTTTTTTTAAAGCTAGGCAGAGGTTATCTTGTTTTGATTAATAAAAGAAGGGCTTGCTATTTAAAAGATTATGTGCTTCAGCTGTTTATCAGAAGGATAAGCAAAGCTGTAGATTCCACCTTCAGACAACTTGGAATGGATTATCAGGGTCCTCATTTTCTTCTACTAGTTTTAGCATTAACTTGGTGTGATAGAGCACGAAGAATAATACCATTTACTGCAGCAGTAGCTAATTTTAGTGAGGATTGTATCCTGCCTTAACTCTGACAACCAGAATCCACTGTGATTTTGGTCTGAAAGCAGTTCTATTCTGCAAGTTAATCTGAGGACCTGGTTTTTCTTTGAAGTACAGAAAGATACGATCTATTTCGTGAAGAATGTAAACTGACAGAACAAAGCTAGAGAGCCTGTGGGTGAGGTCAGTTAGGGAGTTCTATAGCAGAAATGGAGAAGTGCAGATCAGTTCCTGGCATGAAAAATGATAAAAGTCGGAGACACTAAAAAGAGACAAAATAATAGTCCAGAAAAAAGACTGGTTTAGTGTAAGAGTTTAGACAAAAAGAGAGAAAGAAAAAGGATTAGTATTTTGTGCAGAATGTAACTCACAGAGGGTGGCGAAGCTCAGAATGAGGATCTTGGATTTTCTGTGATAAAACACAGAAGACTGGAATGAGGAAAGATAAAAAATCAGAATCTGGAGAGGTGATACATGTCAACAATTGAGACTTGCAGAGATGTGAATTAGGGATGAAAGAAGTATTTATAGGTGTAGAAAGAGTCAACAGAAATAAGTTATATTTCCACTTCTTCATTATCTATATCTGTACTTTATCCATGAGCTGTGAGACTTTATAATTCTGTTTGGCCTGTGTGCCTCTCCTTGGATATCAGCTGAAGTATTGCTGCAGTAGATTTTTCCATGGACTCTTATGTTAAAGACACAGCACCTCTTTAGTTCTTCCATTTTTAATGGAGAATTGAGAAATGTATGTTTGAAATTCATTTTTTTGAATCAGGAGGATTTATTTATTCACTTTCTATCTTCTTCCAAATCCAGAAATACCAGGGGCTGATTTTGTTTAGCCTGTGCCTTGAATCATCTTGGCTTAGCTTCCACGAAAAGATTTTCTTTTTGACAGCTTCATGTTTCTGTTTGAATGAAGCTGGCTTGTGAAGCCTTCAGCATGGAAGATGATGCTCTCTCAGGTTTCATTAAGGGCTTTCAAAATCATTAGCTTTCTGCTGGAATTGATCACCGAGCAGTCTGTCTAGTGAAAAAAAATTCAAATAAGATTTTCCTTGTAGTTTCTGTCAGTCTGGAGATACACTGTGGAGCTACCTTCTTACCCTCTAGTCACTTCAGTGTGTTAAGCCTTGTTCTTAGATGTGAGATGCTGTAGTAAGTGGAGCCTGAAGGGTGATTATACTTAGGCAACACAGTGTGCAGTAGGATCATCATCAGTGCCCATGCCTGTTGCAAATTCAGTGTCAACCTTTCCTAGGTTTTGAGGTGTTTGAGCAAAGCTGAAGTTCTGAAACAATGTGGAATGTAGAGCTGTTGAAAGTGTGAATGTGGGTGGGTTTTTTAATTGATACCGTAATGGAGAAAGTGAATTCTTGAGACAGCACCCCTAAATCACATCAGGAAGCAGTGCATTGGGAAACAGCTCATCTTCACTCTTGAGTTATCTCACTTCCATCAGTCACTCCTTGACTGGCCACTCCTTACAGAGTTATGTCTTCCTTTTCTACTGTATTGATAGAGAAAAGGTGTTTATAACTGCGGTTACCAATTAATGTTGAATTTGCAAAGCACCAGTATTTTTGTGGCATTGTTTTGTCCATGCTACTTGCTGTCTTGTCTCTTGTGTTATGTGATCACATGCAGCCGAGCCATGATCTGAAACTGTGGGGTCCAACTGCCCTTTCCTGACCCTGGTGTGCTCTCCAGAGCTCAGATACAGCTGACAGCTACAGCTTGTTAGCAATTGGGATGTGCTAGTTGCCTTCTGGGAGTGCATCTTCTGGTGCGGTTTCATCTGGAAAGGATCCCGTTGGTGTGCTCCTAGACTGTAGACTAAAACACAGTTAAGTGAGGATATTTGGGAGATTTGGTTCAAAAGTGCATTTGTGATCTAAAATAAATTGACAGTGTAGACACAACCTGTTCACCCTCAGTTTCAGCAGTGAGGCACAGGAGAGGCTGCTACAGGCTGTACTTGCCCTGCCTTCTCCTGGCTGGCAAAGCACCTTGTATTTCCCAGGGAAGTGCTTGAGTGAGAAGAGCTGCCATGCACTGGGGGTCAGCAAGGCATGGTGACTTCTTGGGAGCAAATAGGTGGTAGCAGATATTTGCATCATGCTTTCCATATCCTCCTCTTCCTGAGACAACACTGCTTGTGACAGCGACTGTTTGGTCTGTATATGCAAGCACTGTGCAAATACACAATGCTGTAGTATAAAATTAACGTTATATTTTGCATTGTTTTTACTTTTGCGTAAGCTTATGTTCTGTTGCAAAGTCAAGAACAGTGCAAATGAGCTTCAAGTCCATCACTTTTTTTCTTCACCAGTCTAGATACAGACACAAGCACTCGTTGGCTCTTTCAGGCACCTTGTATGTGTTTGAAAATTTCTCAACAGGTTCTGTTAGCCCAAAGTCTTTATTTAGAGCTGCTATAATTTATCTTTTGACTTTTGGTAGAATATATTAAGAAAAGGCAATTTTCTGTCTTTTTAACTTCTTACTGACTGATAATAGAGTTTGCATAAAATGATGTAAGAAGGAAAAACTCATATAGCATATTTTATATTTATTATAAGAGGATGAATTGTAATCAGTCATTATGAACATGGATTTTTTTGAGAACAGAAAGGATATTTGTCCCCTCTATGAAATGAGAGTTTATTGGTATAAAAACAGTGAAATAAAAGTTAGGTCATAGAATGGTTTGGGCTAGAAGGCACCTCAAAGACCATCTAGTTCCAACTTCCCTGCCATGGGCAGGGACACCTTCCACTAGAATTCCATTATGTGTGAAAAAACCTCTAAAGTTACTATGTGAGGCAATTAAAAAAACTTTTCGTGGGAAGGAAGAAGAGTACAGAATATACTACTATGACTGTTTATACATTTAAGTAATTCTTGACAAATTATTGTTCAGAGAACCCATTCTAAACTTATCTGGCTGGACAACTCATACTCACTGTTTTGGAATCATTGTGTTGATGTTTCAGGCTTCCCACATGGTCTTACAAAGCTTGGCTTCTTCCTTCTTAGGAAAAGTTTTATTTTTCAAGGAACATCACTGCTAGGATATTATAAAACTGCCATGAATCTTCTGTAGTAACGAATAAAACATGCATAATCCCAAATATATGTATTTTCCCAGAGGAATGAAAAATGTTTTGTAAGTTTGGACATTTAGTTTCACTATGCAGTGAGCTCAGATGAATTGTATCTTGTAGCAAGAGGAATATGAAGAACAATGTTGACCACATGGGTCTTACATGATCATTACACATTATTTCTTGTGACAGTAGAGTCCCAGTTCCCCAGTCAAGGCCTCCAGCCCCTTAGTACTGTGAACTCATATGGAAGCAAAGTAGATCCACACCCAGCCCAGATGATCCTTCTGTTTGAAGTTTTGACTAGAGAGTGACTGAAGCAGGCGTTTGGTAAGTCAGGAAACAAGCATGTTTTGGCAGGTAGCTTAACAATCTCGGAAGCCCTAGTTACCAGCTATCTAGCTAATACCACACATGCAGAGGGACCCCAGCTAAAGGAACGTGTTAGGTTGCTTAAATATAAAGTAGTTAGGATATAGTGTACTGCTGAATAGATGAAAAACAGTTTAACAGAACAGAAAGAAGTTGTCTTTCTTTTGCATAGCCCAGTCCAAGAGTTAAAGGCAAAACTTAATAAATTTTTTATTTGTTTTGTTTTAGAACGTCAAGCGTGTACATCTATGGCCGGCTCCAGCGTCCTTCCCTCCAACGTGGCTGGTATCAGCAAAGAGCTGATCGAACTGCAGCACCTCATCCAGTTCCCGGAGGAGGTTGCCAGCATTCTGACTGAGCAGGAGCAGGAGCTCTACCGGAAAGTCTTGCCCATTGACTACCTCTGCTTTTTAACCAGGGATTTGGGTAATGAGGAATGTCAAAGCAAGCTGCCGTCTATTAAAGCTTCTATATCTGCTACTATTCTTTCTTCCCCAAACGGGGAACATAATGCTGTAGAAGACCTTGTGACAAGGTTTAATGAGGTAAGACAAAACTTTTAAGTTACTTTTCATAAGATTTATTACCTGATTTGTGGGTTAGTTATTTCCTTTATCTCTCGGAGCTGAATTTAGCAGTAATGATAAATTTTTAAAACAGAAGTTAAGATGACCAGGGAATTTAGCTAACTAACTTCCACTGAACTTAATAGGAGTTATGTGACTGATTTGCTTTGTGAATTTGGACAACTGCAACCTAAGTTGTTCTAGCACGTTGTAAACAGACAGAAAAGAAGTGCAGACTTGTATTTCTTTGTATTCATAATGACAGGATGGGGTATACTTTCAGTCAGTTTATTATTTTGTTCAGGAGCTGGAGTTTTATTTATTTGTTTTGGAGTTTTGTAGACTAAGCATGGTCTTAGGAGTCAGCAGAGAAGTATTATAAACTAGAAGTTTCTGTATAATATAACTACACTAATCTGCACTACTTATTTATTTATTTAATCACTGTGTGTGTCTTGAATGTTGTTATACACAGAAGTGTCATTTGGCACGATGCATTTCTGTAAGCCAAATCGTGAGTTCTTCATTAAGACTTTACTTGCTATTTTTAGTAAGGAGATCTTCTGATGAGTTCAACAGAAAATTGATCAAGGATTGAGACAGCTGTAAAAAAAAATCCACCCCAAAAACACAACCCAAAATCCGCCTAAATAAAGCCTAAGGTTTATGTTGAGGAAAAAAGGGAACAATTTCTTTCTTCCTTTTTTTCTGGAACTTATGTAATGTTAGCAGTTTCTAGATTCATAGGAGTGGAATAAAATGAAGATGGTCTTGATTTACACTCCTTTAGTTTGTTATCCACTGCATTCTTACGGTTTAATAAGAGATGTAAATTTTGCAGGTATCAAAAAGATAGCAGAAAATTAAGTAGATAGAGCAGAACATGTATTAACCCCCAGGGAACTTCCTGCTTCCTGGGCAAATAAGAATCAGTGACTAAATATTTAGCATGTTTCAAAGTGTTCCTGTTTCTTGGATGTTACTGAGATGTAGGAAGTAAAATAGTGTAAATATGTTTGCTTCTCTCACCTAATTCTATTATGGAAATATAAATAAAAGTAGCAACTACAGTATTCAGTCTTCAGACAGAGCCTAAAAATAATTTAAATTAGCTCTGGTTACTGTGGCTGGTGCATAGCTGGAGAGGCATCTAGCTCCTGACGTGGCCAGGGTCCTCCTCCCTGTGGTGTTTCACTTATGGTGATCACCACAGCCAGGGCAGTGGGAAAAAGGTGAAGTGGTCGAGCTCTAGTGTGACCTGGAGAGGCACAGTGCCAGAGCGGGCAGTTAGGGCATTTTGCAGGTAGTTGTATGAATTAGATTGACCGTCATGTTCTGACACTGAACAGTTATAGGTTTGAGGAGCAAGTAGGTGGTGAGGAAGTCTTGTCAAAAATGACTGAGACTACTCCATATCAATGGTAATTTTAACAATAAATTGCCTTATAGTAAAATAATCAACTTCATCTTTTAGTGTTAGAAATTTGTGACTTTGCAATTTTTGTAGTCCAACATTACTTGTTTGGTAATGCTACAGGATGAATTTTCATATAATTTGAATTAATTCCTGAATATTTGGTACATAGATTATATAATATTTAGTGCAATGCATTAAGTGTAATCTCTAACAACTTTTTTTTAAAAACGTAGGTATTATATGTTTAAATGGACTTATTGTACAATATTTACTGCTTGTAATAAATCATTATTTTGCTATCTGCTTTATCTTATGGAGGGGTATATCATTTGCCATAGCCAATCACAAGCATAAACTTTCAAAATGTCTTTGTTTATAAATGGCAAGAAAATTCTTGTGCAGAGAGTCATGCTTTGGTTGGCAAGAGTTAGTGAGCACTTGCTGATTTTTTTTGGCATTGCCTATAGAAATACTGAAGTGTATTTATAATGTGGGAGCCAGAATGACTTTTAGGATGACAGGCTTCTGATACTTAATGGGAAAAAATAATTTCATACCATTGTTCTGTTAAATGAGCAATTATTGTATATAGAGGGTTTTTCATAAGGCAATATGCTTTTTGGTAATTTTTCTGACATTTACTACATATTAATGAAGAACTCTTTATAACACTTGTTTAAAATGACAGTCAATAATTGCTGGTTTGCTACTCAACAGAACTTCTTTATTTAAGAGAACAATACTGACACTTTCATGGCTGCTTAGATTGAATGAGGGCTGCAGGAGTATTATAAAATAAATTGATAATTAAAAATAATGAAAATTAAAATATTTTCAAATTGTTAAAATACATTTTTAAAAGTGAGTTTATGTAGGGGGAAAATCTGATGTTATTGTGATGAATTTTACTAGCAGTATTTCCTGTTAAACTTCCCGTAACTCCCAGAACCCCCCATTCATGACTGAAGTTGCAAACTCCCGTTGACTGCGGAGTGCAAGATCAAGCAGTAGATATGGGAAACATCATGTGGTTCCCTTATATTTTAAATATGTTTGCTGTTACAAAACTGTTCTGTTCTAGATGTGAATGATTAAATGTTCTTGCTGGTGAGATAGACTATGAATATCTTCTCATAATTTGTTTAAACCTTTCTATTTATTTTTGGGTAATGTTGCTTGATACGAATTACAGTATTTAGACCTCAGTGGGGTCAAAAAGGTTTACACAGGAGAAAGGACTTACAGTGACTGGTCAGCCCTAAATGTTTGGCCTGGAAATGGACCATGAAGAATTGCAGAACTGAATCAGAAATCAGTTGCCCTCTGCAATAAGTAAAATTAGTACTTGAAGACATACAACACAGCTGAGTGATAGTAGCTGGAGCTTTTGCCAACTTCATTGTGTCTGCAGTGCTTCACTACAGATCTACAGTTTTAACATCTCGAGAGTAATGCAAGTTTTCTGAAGATTATTGGGTATTTTAGTATGAGAGTGGAAATAGATTTTTGTCAGATACTCTTATTCTGAGATCACAGCATTGTGAGCTTCACACGGGGAGCTGAAAAGTGTAAAAAGGATTAAAAAAAAAATGTATCAGAAACCAGGTTAAAAATCATGTAGTGAGAAACCTGCATCACAAGTAATGTAACAAGCAAGGAGAAAAGTTGAGGTTGCACCTCAGACCAGGACTTGGTGGTGAAGTGGGATGTGTGAGGCTGTTTAGTGACAAGGGTTGAATAATAGTAGGCTTTTGGCCAGCCAGACGTTAATCAGTATCTTAGCGTTACCGCATGACAATCCAAAAAAAAAGTAGTGATAGATGGAATAAATTTAATTTTTGGGCCCTGTCTGATTTTTGTGTGTGTTGTGGGTTTTGGTTTCTTTTTTTTTTTTTTTTTGGTTGGTTGGTTTGTTTTGATTTTTTGGTTGGTTTGTTTGGTTTTTTGCGTTTTGGGGGTTTTTTTTGGGTTTTGTGGTTTTTGTGGTTTTTTTTAGGTTTTTTTTTTTTTTAAATAGGAGCTCTATTCCTGCTTTAAAAGCAAGGTAACCAACTTCAATGTTGAGGAGATCTCCTTTGTTACTGTCTTCGTGGCAAGATTTCCACAGCCTACTCACACCTTGCTTGAGAAGCCGCACAATTTGGTTTTAACCTGCAACAAGCTGAACATACTTGTCAATGTCAGTATCTGCTTGGGGTGTCAGTGGATGGAGTCCTCAGTATTATGGAAGAGGCACAATTTGTTACGGGTGGGATCTGCGATAACCGCTCGCCTTACCCTGTTTTGCGTGGCTTTAGTGAGTGCTTTGACCTTAAACTCCAGAGTACAGCAAGGTATTCTACTCCAGCTGGACATACCTTTATTTGTCACAGATACTGGATGAAAGTAATTAGTGAGTGGCTTTTGTTTCTGATATATGAATATATTCAAAAAATAAACAGTGAAGATTGGATAAATAGATTACCTTTATTAATATGCACAAAAGACAGAAATTACAGCACTCTAGATAATCTTCATTTATATATTTTTCTTTTCACTGTCAAGAAGAATAGGGAAAAAAATTGTAGTAGCATAAGTAGTGTAGAGACATGCAAGATAGATAGCATGGATTATAGCTACTGTCAAGCACTCCACAAATACAGCACAAACATGTAACTGGCAAATCCTGTGCTGCTGAGCCTGGGAAACACAAACGGCCTTTATTTAAGAGAGCATGCAGTTACTAGAGGGAATTCAGGCATTATTTTCCTGTGTGTTTTCTTGTTGTGGGTTTCCAAGTATCAGTTTATTTCCTACTGTGTTAATCGAGGTGGCTGCCATGACAAGGAGCTTGAACACCCAATGGCTTGTTTCAGAAATATGTTGTACCAAGATCAGTCACAAGAGATCTGCTTGCATCCCACAAAATGGGATGGAATATATTCTCATATTGTATTTAATTTGTATTTTAGAAGTCCTGTGTCGTTCCAAATACCAGTTCTGTATGGAAATTTACAGGGAAACAAAATATTTACAGGAAAAATAAAAGCTTTATAATCTTCTAACGATGCAGTTTGTCTGCAGGATTTACTCTCTCTGATGGGGTTTTCAGGTGTAGGAGTTCATGTGACATACAGCCCAGTCACCAAGGATTTGTAATATTTACATAAATAGACATGCTTTTTTCAGGCTTCACTTCCCTAGAAGTACTCTAGAAAGATGTTACTCATGGTGGAGATTGACACTGAAGTTTAAGTAACTTCCGTAATGTTGCTATAGAAAGTGTGGTCACTAATGTTTAAGAAATAGTTCATAAAACTAAAGTTAAGTTAAAAAATGAGCAAAGAATTAGGAGGCTTTTCAACATGTGTAGTAGATGCAGTAGGCCTGAAAAAAGAAAAATTAAAAATTATGAATAACCTCGGAAGGATGAGGGATGCAGATAAAAGGTATTACCAAATCACTACGATTACATCTACACTACAGAAAGAATATAGATTACTAAGTAATAATTATCAAGTATTTAATGAGGAAATGTTCTTTTGTAATACTGTGATTACAGCTTTTTTCAGTTGTTCCTTAA